TTAAAAAGTACAATTTTAATATTACAATTTTCCCTGTTTCCTTTTGATCTATCTTTATTTCTTCTATCCTGCCTCAACGCTGAGGCTGCACCCCAGGAGTGCTGATGCTGTCACACTCCAGGCTTGTCACTTGGGGGCTCTGCAGACATGGGCCCACTGTTCTCCTTGGAAGATTTTTAATACAGAAAATCACATGTGGATCTACATACGAGCAAGCATTTTCAGATTATATAAAATAGTAGTAGGAATAATGTGAGCATACAAATTACAAAATAATAGGAGAATGGGGGAAATAGGCAAAGAATATGAACAAGTAATTCTCAGGAAATGAATTACAAGTGGGTAGTAAACAAATCCAGTGGGAAATGCCCAATTTTATTCTTAGGAAAACACAGAAATGGGATGCCATTGCTTCCCATCTGATGTCTAGAATTTACTTTTTAAACTGCTTTATTGAAGTGGGAGTGATATACAATAACTGCACATATTTAAGGTACAGTGAGATGAATTTGGACATATGCATTCCCTCATGAAATCAGCTACAATCAGACAGACAGACCTATTATCTCCAGGAGCTTCCCTGTGTCTCTTGGGTGTGGGGGGTGTTCATTACAGGTGGTAAGAATACAATAAGAGATCTATCTACCCTCTCAATGAAGTTTTAAGTGCATACTACTGTATTATTGATCTTGAGTCCTTATACTTAAAATGACTGGAGATATCAAGTGTGACTGTGTGGGGAATCTAAGCCATCATACACACAGTGAGTGTGTAGATGAGCACTCTTTGGAAGTTGAGAGCATGTGTGAAAACCTAAAGCAGCAGGGGGTGGTGGCACATGCCTATACTTCCAACATCCTGGAAACCTGACGCAGGAGAAATCAAGTTTGAGACCATTCTGGGGAACTTAGTGGCCTAATGAGGCCTTGTCTCAAAATTTTAAAAAATGGTTGGGGATGTGGTTCAGTGAGAAAGTCCTGGGTTCGTTCCACAGTAACAACGACAGCAAACCAAAAGTATGTGCTACCTGTGACATGCAGGTCTTTCCAAAATTATCTCTCTGTGATAAATACTAACACATCTGCAGGATGCATTGTGTGGACGTCCATTATTTAAACATTGTTTGGACGGCGGTATATTACAAATAATCAAAACACCATCAGTAGAGGAAATGTCAAAAAAACACGTTTACATTCGAATACATTTAGCTATGAAAAGGAGTGAATGCATTCTGTGTTGATATGCACAGACGGAACGTGCGTGCTGTTAAGTGGACCGAGGGAATTCAGAGCGTTAGTGCAATGTAATACAATTCACATGAAAACATACATAGTGCTATGTTTTCTAAAATTATTGTGAAATAGTTTAAATATACAGAAGATATTACACTGACTGCCTACCTTAGTTCTGTGGGCTTTCATGGGCGTATATTTCCCAGGAAGATGTAAGACCAACTGGAAACTTCCACACTGAACTCACGGCAGTGGCTAACTTCAGGGGGCGGGGAGAGTCTAGCTGTGGGCTGACACTCAGCAGAACTTTAGCTATACCTGCAGTGACCCAGTTTTTGGTAAAAGAACGCATTCTCGTATCACTTATGTGATCAAGCACGAAGAAAAGTAGGCTTTTTGCTGTTCGTTCTGATAGCTCTACTTTAGTGGCTTTGACGTCGGCGACATCGGAGATGCCGTCTGTGTTCCTCAGAAAGTCTGCATGTTTCCTTGTCTGCCCTGTGCTTAGGACTGGGTGGGGAGGGCCCCGGGCCCATTGCTCCGTTCCCAATCTTCCAGCTAGAAGTCCAGCAAGCAGTTATGTGGGCCGGGCTTGCCCTGCCAGGCAGTGAGCTCAGGGCTGCCCTGGTCTTTCCTCAGAGACCATTCAGAGCTCTCACGACAGATGAGCTCCTTCCTTCCGGGATGTTTCGGTACTCACTTTTGCACACTAACAGCCGTTTGTGAGCACATCTTATGTCCCTGGGCTTTCTTCTGAAGCCTCAAAGCTTGCATTCGATGCCTGTACTGAAGCTGCTCAGCCGAGCAAATCATTTAATCAGCTCTTCTTTGGCTAACTCCAAAGTTGTTTTCTGTATTTTATGATCAACTTTAGTAAAATATGCTTAAGATTAGTCTTGACATTCATGTATAGTTATTTTCTTTAGAAAGATGTTATAGAGTATCTTAATGCACACACCGAAAAGGCAGAAATGAAGAGAGAGAGAGAGAGAGAGAGAGAGGACAAAGAGGAAAAGAGGAGGAAGAGAGGGAGAGAGGAAAGATAGGAAGGAGGTGAAGAAAGAGATGGAAGGTAAGGTTCACCCTTGCCATGGCCAAAGCAGCTGGCTGCAGTCTGGTGTGTAACGCACTGCTCACACGCACCCTGCGTCCCTGGGAACCCCAGAGGCTGGCTGGTGAGGAAGCCCCTCAAGTGCAATGCTTAGACCCAAAATGTCCGATGATAGCACAGCAGTTGGAGAGACAGCAAAGGGTCCCTGGATGGAGAGCTGTCCTTGCTGTGGCCCTGGAGGGACTGCAGGGCCTCTTCTCAGGCTGCGCTCACCTGGCCTCCGAGCCGGGCTGAGTCGCTGCAGTGCTTGTGGAGAGAGGACACAGGAGAGCAAAGTAGAGACACGAAGACCGGCAAGTAGTGCAGCCCTAAGCTGACTCGTCCTCTCCAGTCAGACTGGACAGCCAAGGCCATCAGACAGCGGCGGTGCCTGCTCCCCTCCTCTGCTGCTCCTGGCGGCGGCGTAGGGAAAACTCACACAGCCTCGTGGCTGGGCACTTTGTATGGGAAGGACGGGGTGTTATTTTCCACTAGAGCTGCTAACCCAGAACACAAATAGTTAAAGGAAAAGAAACTTAGTCTCCCGTCATTTCTTATGAAACATGAAACTCCAAATGGACTGGCTTTGTTTAAAATAATTTTTAGAAAACATTTAAACATTTGGAAAGGTATGAAGAGTAATGTAATGAATACTTCTGTACTTCCCACCAAGCTGTGAGAAAGCTTAGCATTTTGCCATACTTGCATCACACATGTGCGCACACACATGCATGCACAGACACACACGTGCACGCTTAAAGGAAAAAAAATATTGACATTGTTGCAGTCATCTGAGTGTGTTTAATTCACCCCTTCCTCCCCTTTCCTTCTTAGAAGCAACCACTGTCCAGAGCTGGTGTCTGTTCTCCCTGGCCATGTTTTCACTTTCATTTGATGTCTATACATCCAAAAGCAGCATATAGAATTATTTTTGGGAAAACTTTATGTAGCTGCTATTATGGTTTAGGTATTCTGCAACTTGACTTGTTCACTCACTGTTAGATTTTAAGCGCCTCTTTGTACATAGAACTTCAGGCCATTCGTGACCATGTCGCACTGCATTGTGCCCCAGTACGACAAATGCATTCCCCTGTCAGCAGGGAGGTCCCACTTTCCTGTCGCTGTGAGCATGCGCAGTGAACATTCTTTCCCCCACATGAGTTTCCCTTGGGGCATGATGGGGTGGAGGGCTAGGTGGCGGGTGTGAACGTCAGAAATTGTACTAGGTTAATGCCTCGTTATTTCCTCCAAAGGGGCTTGTACCCATTCATACTCTGCTAACTGTGCTTTAATAAGCATTGCTCCAAAGTGGCATTGTCACACTTTATCCTTTGGGTGTGAAATGGCGTGTTAATGTTGCTCTCTGTCGCTTCTTCCAGATAAATTTGGAGAAGGAGCTTTCCACATGTGTCCTGCCATTTGGGTGTCTTCTTGCATCAGCTTTTTCAGTTTACCAAAAATTGTAAAGCACCACATGTACTTTGGCCAAAGATTACGAATAATGGGCTTGAATCCAGCCTTCCAGGACCACGTGCAGCCTGAAGGGTGTTTGGGACATGAGTACAGAGAAACAGCCTAAATAGGAGTGTGCACCCGCCAGACAGTTGGCTTCCTTGAGAGACAGGCTATTTCAACACATACATATTTATGACCCAAGAAAAGGCTTGACAAAGATGGTAATTTTTAGAGGGTTGGCGAGTTTTCAGAATGTAGGAAGAAGAAATACAAGAGCCTAAAGGGATAAATTCTGTTCATTTCTAAGCCAGAAAGGTGGGCTTTGTAACAGCCACCTGGCTCGCTTCATTGGAATCAGGACAGAGAGGGGAAATCTACAATTTGTTTTTAGTAGTGGGAAATTTTTTAAAAATTTAGCAGTTTTTCTGTGCTGATATGATATGGGTTTCCTTCTCCCCAGCATTCTGTACCGTGAGAGTTTGCTCTTAGAAAGATTCTTGTTTGTACAAGTTCTAGATGATGGCTCTTTGTGTCTGTAAACTGTTTACTTGGCTTTCTCTCACATCATAGGACAAGTGACATGCTTTTATTCCCTTTGAAATCTGAGTCATAGGCACAGAGGGATGAGATATTAGATCATAGGACCATGGGTGCTGAAATCAGGGTTTGGATCTGGGTCTGCTGACTGGGGGGCCCCGTGTCCTTCCAAGAGCATGTTCATCTTCCTGCAGAGAATTTGGCCCATGGCTTTCTGCTCTGGGGCGAGGGGTGCCTGCCCCTGGCACACCCACGCTGTGCTGATTGCACTGTGCTCCATATTGAGCAAGGGCTTTGAGCTCACTTAGGCACGTGGGAATCAGTGGAATTGGCTTTGGAACGATTTTAACCTTGATTAATGAGGCAACAGGTCAGCAGGCTCTCAACATGCCCTGGGGTCCTTGGAGCTTCTAAAAATCCCCCGTGCCCAATGCCAGGTCAAATTGGTGACATCAGGATGGGGTTAGAGGGGAAAGGTCCCCCCCCCCATTGTTTTAGGGACTCTGTTCTTGTTTTCTGTGGTTGATGCTGTTGATGGTAATTGTTCTTCAGTTAAAGACAAAGATAGTGGAAGTTTTATGATTTGCTATTTCCTTTTAGTCAATGCCTTAAACTGAACATCTAGCTCCCATGAGAGTTTTTGCAGCCTTTTTCAAAAGCCTAAAACCTGTGCCATTTGGTTCCAGGAGCTCGTGTCAATGCCAAGGACAACATGTGGCTGACCCCTCTACACCGGGCCGTGGCTTCCAGGAGTGAGGTGAGTGATGACCTTATTTCATCTGATACCTGCTGTCCCCAGAGAAAGTATTCTTTCCAGTGGATTGGGGACCCTCACTAGTGAACAAGAGCTTTCAGGTCTAGTGCAAAAAGGTTACCAAAAGTGAACAGATGGACCAGCGGAGTGTGGGGGAAGTCCAAGCTGGACAGCATGGTCCTTGACCTCAGTCACCTCTCAGGCTGGAGAAGGAGGACAGGAAGCAGATCACACAATATCAGAATATACTTGAAGGAGGAAGCAGCTCCAAGCACAGCGGCAGTCCTCTGAGAAAAGATCACTTTTGATCTGGTCCTTAAAGGATGAGTAGGGATGTCTCAGGCCAGGAAAGGAGGAAGAGCTGAGGCACACATGTGAACGATGGTGTCTCAGGTAGATGTAACTAGAACACAGAGGGTGCTGAGGGTAAGTCAGATAGTGGGGTCTGGGCCAGGTGGTGGAGAGCTATGGGGAATGGTCAGAGGGGTGACTCATTCAGAATAGCAGTTCAAAGAACATAGTGTGGTGACAGGATGGCGGTAAGCAGAAGAGGGGTTCAGGCAGGGGTGCTAGTCCAAGGCCAAAGAGACCCAAGAACGGAGCTGAGGCCTGGCGAGGAGTCAGTGACTGAGAGATAACTAGAGGTGGGCCTGACAGGACTGAGTGCCTTGCGGGGGTGAGATGGAAGAGAAGCCAGCAGATAGATGGTGATGTCATAAACTGTTGATCAGCCTTCTCATTACTGAGACACAACACCTGACACCTCAGACTTAACGGAGAAGGGGTTCGATTTGGCTCAGGGATCCAGGGGACTCAGTCCAGGGTCAGCTGGCTCCAAGGGAGGAGCATCACAGGGGCAGGGAGTGGTGGAGTAAAGATGCTCAGTTCATAATAACCAGGAAGCAGCGCTGGGGAGCAGCACCAGAGAGGAATGAGCGAGGGGCCAGAGTGTCCAAAACTGTGCTGCCATGACCCGCGCAGATACAGCCAGAAGTATGCTTCACTAATCCCCTGGGCGGCTCCCAAGCCAATCACATTGATACAGTTAAACTTAGCCCCTGCACTGACGGAGAAGACCCAGAGCAGGGGTGGGGCAGGGGCTGGGAAGCTAGTTAGTTTTTTTCAGCGCACCGAGTCTGGGAAACATCACCCTGGAACATAAGCTCCATGAAGACAAGGATCTGCGTTTTGTTCCTTGGTATGCCTCAGTACCCCTGGTACATGCAGAAACAGAGTGAGCTTGATACTCAAGAAATAACCCAATATTGAATGCTGGAAATTCAGATGAAGATGGCTCATAGATTATGATTATTTCTGTAGTCCAGAGGTAGGCGCATGATCTGGTTCAGGGGGCAGAAGGAATGAGAAGAACCTCTGTGGTGGGGGCAGGGAGCCCCGGTGGGGCCAACTTGGTGAGAGGAGATGCCCACCATGCAAGGATACAGGATTCTAACCCAGAGACCTTCAAGGGTGAGTTTGCCCCATGGAGCTCTGGCTTTGGAGAGGAGGTATCCTCTGGATACACCTAGGAGCAAGAGCACAAGTACCCTGAAGTTGCAGGTGTTCGTGGTTAGCATGAGAACTAGCGTTTCCTCTTTGGCAGCTACTTTGGAAACATACTTTGTAGATCATGGCTTAGTGCTCATTTTCTGCCTTGCTTGGTTGCATAACTTGAGAGTTTTCAAAAAGAGGTCTGTGTTGTTGTCCTTCTGAATGGTCCACCTGGAGTAAGGGAGGTAAATAATTCTAAATTTCCTTGCTTGGGTGCTGGGGGATTCAGCATCTTCGTGTGGACCCACATTGCATTTCTGTGTTATCTGGGAAAGCTGGGGCAGTGGGCTGCCTGAGTTGGTAGGACCACGTCATACGATCAGCCCATCATAGGGAAGTATTTTGTGGTCTAAATTTTAAGACCGTTCGATTGTTGGTAACTTTCTTTTCAGCATCTCTAAATCTCTGGGGATTGGCTTGTTTCCTTTGTAACAAAATTGTTGTAGTTTTTGAAAAATTACTGTGCTTGCTGATGAAGTACAAAGAGGATTAAGATCTGTGGTCTTGCCCTCAGGATGTAGTCTAGTCAAGAAGGACAGACCGGGCAACTTCAGTGAGTAAGGGTCACATCGGTGCCCTTTCCCAGGTGATCAGCGCCTTTCTTAGCTGTAGCTGTGAAAGCTTCCATCCTCAGAGCGTCCATTTCCACCACCAGCCCACTCTCTCCACCTTCAGTGAGTTTGTCCCAGTCAACTCAAGGATGGGACAACTGACAACTGTCATGACAAAAGCGTTGGTTGCTTCTCCGGGTCATCAGCTCCCTCTACAGGTTTGCCAGGGGAAATAGCCCTGCAGGTGTCTGTCAGGAAGGACTGAATGCAAACAAACCCTGAGGTGTAAATAATCACAATCGTATATAAGCTCTGAAAGGGAGTGTCTTTGTGCTGATATCGGTCCCAGTAAGTTGAAAAACTCCCTAGGAAAACTGGGGTCTTTGTGTCTGTCGCCAGATCGGCCCTGCAGTGAGCATCTGGACTCCGCGCCCATCACGGCGCTGGAGGAGCCCGCACGCAGAATTCCATCTCCTTTTGAATTTGGTCCTTTTGCCGCTGGTTTATGTCTCCCTAACTAGTGGTTGGGAGGAAGGGCAGGAAGTTTGAGGGGAAAGGACAGAGGAGGTTTGGGTTGGTACTTGCCTTGTCACTGTCAGCCTTGGCCAACGGGGACATCTGGTTTCAGTGTGACAGCTGCCACGTCCGTCTGCTTAGGGTGCTGTGTGTATGCAAAGTCGTTTCCTCATTGCAGAGGTTCTAAACTGTGCTGTCCTCACGGCCTCCTTGCCTCCCATGATCCCCAGCGCTGGGAGTGGATTTGCAATGCCTGCTGCCTTAGGCAGGCGCACTGGGACTGCCAGAGAGAATAACCCAGCGTTGTGTGAATGATTTCTCTTGTTCCCCTCTTAGCTTGTTCCTGTTGCTTCTTTCCTTCTCTTTCTTGGAAAGAAGCAGTTGTAGGGAAAGGAACTAAGTGTGTGTGAACCTAGAGAGCTGACACATGCTCCCGGCAGCTGAGCACCTGTTTATTGAGCCCCATGGGTGGAGTGGGGCGGGGGGGGGGCGGTCTATGAAGTGTGGCTCCAAGGTCGCAGGGCTTCGGGTGCGGCTGTGCCTGGCCTTTCACACAGCCCCTTCCCGGGCACAGAGCTGAGAGTAGCTCCCAAGGAGAATCTCTGCTCTTCCCACTTCTCTTCTAGAAGCGATCTTGTGGCTAACAAAGCTAAAGATGCTTGCATCTGTCTTTGGGGTGTAGGACTGAGGCCGTCGTGTCCCTCTAAGAGCATCGTCAGGAGCAGTTATGAAGCAGGTGTCGTGTGGCAGGTAATGTGCTACGGACAGACGCCCTGTGCACTATTCCGTCTTCATCTCCAGCCACCCTTTGCGATTGTACTCCTGGTAGCACTAATTCAGGAAACAGGGTCTCGAGGAGTAAGAGCCAAAGGTGTCCCAGCCGGGAGGGGCAGTGACCAGGGAGCCAGCTTGCTAACTGCTCTGGGCCCCGCTTCCCCGGTCCCCGCAGTGACTGTGAGCCAATCAAATGCATCTGTTCCTGGCTTCTGTGCAGACAGACTCTCAGCTGGAGTACAGGGCCTTCCCAGAGCTGAGCAGGACAAGCGTTCCACTTCGCAGCTTGAATTAAAACTTAGGTTTTTTCCTTCCTCTGAAAAGCAGTGGGCTGCTAGTAGACAGGAGAATTTGAAACACTCTGCAGAAGATCAGAGTGACATTGACCTCTTTAAATTATTTTTGTCTCTGTGGAAGGATCTTTGCATCTACAACATAGGCCTTACCTGGAACAGGCAGAAAGTAGGCCTTGTGTGGTTTATTAGTTAGAAGTAGGTAAGTGGTACCCAGGCTGAGTATGTGTGCAAGGCACCTGCTCTAGAGCCCTTCCCCCGTGGGCCTGAGGGAGCCTGTGGCCACACCCAGAAACCTGCACCTTAAAGGCAAGATTCTGATGCCTGTGTTCTACATACCACACTTGGAGCCCTGGGGCTGAAGATCAGGGATACTCTTGGGTCTGCTTTTCCTAACATTTAAAGTCAGTGCTTTAAGAACAATTCTCTCCTACCGCAGCTCTCCGGTGGGCCACCTTTGTACTACTAGCTTTTAAAATAATTGTGCCCTACAATAATTATAATTAAGAGCAAGTTTAGTTTGATGGTGGGTACTTCTAGGAGAACAATCCCATTCGTTGAACATATTGGTTGAGCACCAATTTATACAATTCTTATAGAATGAATATGAAATTGCTGTAATCAACAGAGATAAAAGCCTCATGTGATTATAGTAATACAATAAAAGCCTTCAGAGCTTGAGTGCAGTCTCAGGAACGTCAGCCCACATCACAGTGTGTCCTGTTAACACTTGTAGATTTTACTTACAGAATTCGCTGGTGATTATAACAGTATCTCTATTCCACCCAAATTTATTGAGTGTATACTGTGTGCAGGGAACCTACCAAATTGTGTGGAGTGTGTAGAAAGTTGCCTAAGACTCAGACCTTGGACAAAGCAACTTAAAACTGATAAAGTTTTATGTTGTTTGGACTTTCAAGAAATATGTAGTATTGCTATCAGCATTGCTTTTCCATGAATAACTTATGGATAACTTAAATGTGCACACACTTGTTAGTAAAAGTAAAATCCTGCATGATTGTTTTTAAGACACATGGATTCTCTTTCCTCTCATCTTTTCCACGTGCCAGTGTGTGTCCACACCTTTTAAGCTTGGAGTGGCTTTTACAGAAAGAGGCTCTCATAGGAGGTGGAAGTCACGTGACTGCCGATGCCACCTCTAGTTCCCTCCCGTGTGATAGGCGTGACAGTTCCTCCCATGTGTGGAGCATGCCTGGAGCTTCTGCAGCTTACCTGGCGCAACCTGCTGCGAGGTGTAATCTGACAAGGCGCGCAGCCCCAGGACTAGGTGTGACCAGGCTGAGAGCTTCCATTCAGGACAGAGCCCAGAACCTCACCTGTTTTGTTCATTAAGAAACAAAGGCTTTGAAGGGGCCACTCCTGGCATGGCTACACGCTAATGTGGACGAGAGCTTTTGTGCTACCTCTGTGATAAGAGTGAGCATTCAGCAAGTTTTAGGGCAAGTTAATTGTTTCATGCCTGTCAAATTTAATCATAAAATAATCAGTTAAAGTGTACTTTTTCTTATATCTTTGTTATTTTCAGTTTCATTCGTCCATGTTTGTAGTACATAGTGATTACATGCATCGTGAGCTGCTGCACGTACAGAACACGTTTGAATTCTTTCTACATCTCCTCCCCTGCCCCTCCCCCCATCTCTTGGTCCCCTCTCTGCATTTCCTATATATTTTACAGAAGTATTGGTTCTTGGTGAGTGAAATAACAATTTCTTAAAACCAGTCCTTCACCACAGATTGTTTGAAAAACCACTGCTGACAGAGCTTTTCCTGATTCGGGCAGTGTTCAGCTTCCCTTCTGTCACAGTAGATTTCTTTTCACCTGTATCTTTCTGTCAGAGCCAACTCCTGCATGGTCAGTTTTAGCCAGCACATGATACAGGAGAAGAAACACTTTTTTCATTTAAAAAAATCATTAATTTCCTAAATAGTCATAAAATTATTCCCATGTAACACCAAGTCTGAAAGCTTCCATGGTTCAAATTTTGGAAAGAGGAATGCAGTTTTAAAAAATGGAAGTCGTCTTTTTATCAAAACTTTGGCATGGCCTAAGTAGTATATTAAATTTCTATTAAGTGTATCACACCGGTTTGGCAGGTCAGACTGTCCGAGTTTCTAAGTGTAAATGACCGAGAAGCTCTGACAGCTGAACGCATTTGTGCTGGGCTGCGGGCGGAGGCTGTCACAGGCAAGCTTGGGCCTGGGAGAAGATGACGGTAGCTTGGGCAGCCGGCTGATCCCAAGGCCATCCCCAGGCCCGGTGTTCTGTACATCTGTGAATCCAGCTCCATAGTCATTTTAAACTACAGCATCCGCATTCTTCAGAAAGCGAATCTTTGGAAAGGAAGTAAGGGCTTCTCCATGCGCTGAATGCCCCTTGGTGGAGCTCTGTCTCATTAGGAACATGAAAACTGTACAACTCACTACACAAACAGAGAAATAAAAACACAAGTGGCAAAGGGGAACCATTTTCAGAAGCAGAGAAATAGGCTGTGGCTCTGCTTGGCACCCTTGGTACATCTGATTGACGTGACCTTTGCACTCCCTTGGGGACTGCCTGAGTTCACAGAGACGAGCAGCCCCGCCCACTTCCCCCAGCCGTGCATGACAATGAGCTGGAACCTTTTCCTTTACCAGTGTTTTAGGTGCAACCCAGATCTCTGTCCCATCAAGTTGCTTCTTAACAGATAGGAAACAAAGAAAGAAACAAAGGAAGAAACATGTTTCTAGGTGCTCCATGCCCCCATCTTGTGCAAAGTCTAATATTCCCTAGGTGCTTTCTGAGAATTTGTGGAGATTTGTTTGCTGGTTGTCTGGCTCTGCAAGCCTGCTTCTCCTGCATGAGTTCTGTTGGTGTCACCTTTCTTTCCCTCTGCATCTCTGCCCTGCTGTGCAGGACCTGGTCTTCTCTCCTACGTCTCTGTCCTCACCCCTTCCTGCCTGCCGTGGTCCACCTGCCTTTATCCCGTCACGCAGTGCAGTGCAGTGCAGCTCTGCACCCTGTCCCAAGGGCACTGCTGACCTTCCCCACACAGGGAGGGCCTTCCTCTCCCCACCCCAGCCCCCAGGAGGCCCTGGCTCTCACAGCATCTGCCCTCCTTAGAAGGTGGCTTGGCTATAACTAGTATTTTGCAGGTCAATGATAAAATTCTATTTTAAACAGATTTGGTAATTTCCCATGTATGGTGAAACAGGGGCCAGACCAGGGTTCTGCAGAGTTTTCCGTCAAAGGCCAGATAGCAAGTATTTCAGGCTCTGCAGGTTTCCTGTGTCCTCTGTGGCAGGGCTCTGCTCCCACGACGCTTCAGTCACAAAACAGACCGTAGGCCATGCCAGGGGCCGCAGGGCTCTGGAGGTTTGGTTGTTAAAGAACACAGGTTCCCCTCCCAGCTTTGAAAGTATCTATTCAGGTGTAAACTACAACTGGCATGTAAATATATGGTGTCTGCTTAGCACGTTGCTTTGTGTGAGCTGCAAATCATTCTTATGCATTCATTTAAAAGCAGGGCAAGGCAAGGACCAATTTCTCATGCATTTGTTGATCTTATCTCCAAGTAATGTAAACTTATGGAGCGATCTTGTATATTTTTATTAGTCTATCATGAACTTGCATTATATTTATTATAAAGCAAGAACATACACAGGCAAGTAAAATAATACACAAGGAAAGGTATTCAAGTGACAGCACGCACTGTAGTTTTCTGGGGGGGTGTATGAAAAGAACATTGTTCCATGTTTTATGATATTACTTTGGGAGAGTTGTCTCCATCACTGTGGATCATATATCTCCAAAATTTGGGGAGGCACACATCTCAGAACGTGCATTTTATTTATGCACAGATTATGCATAGGAACTAGCGAATATGTGCAGGTGCCCTATACTTAGGGTGAGGCTTTTCATTTATCTTAGTCTTCCATGAGCATGCAGCTAATAGTCTGATGATCTTCCTCTGCTTTGGCCAATTTCTTGTCAGGTCTGATTAAAACTGTCGCTGCTCTCATGCTATTAGGCTGATAACAACAAGCTCCTCATGGAGTAGTAAGAGCTTTGGCTCTGTGGCCCATGTCTGACCTGTACGTGTTTCCTTTGTGAATCCTTGTCCATTTTAGGGTCCATTTAGTTTAAAGGGACTCCAGCATCTGTGATGTGTGCATACATATTTCGCTCTAAAATGGGCTCTGGGAATATTCAGTAGTATTTTACTGTCACTCTCTCTGAGGGTGTGTGGCATCTTTCTCTCTTTTTTGTTTTGTAGTCTGAAACTACTTGCGTGGGCCCTATCAGCCTTTCATTGACACCATCCATATGGAGCATCCTTAGTTATCACAGCTGTACTGTCCCAGTTGCAAAGCTAATTTCTCTTCATTCTCATTCTGCTGTCCAGACTGGCCGTTCATCTCAGTATGCTCCTGCTACTGATCCGGGCAGCACTCCTCATGTTTCATCGTTTGTATTCCTGATTTTGCTGAGTTCAAGTCATCTACCCGGGGCACTTTTATATGCCTGTATGGTAAAGTAGACTGGACAGTCCAGTCCTGTGGGGACTGAGGTGGCTAAGGGTAAATTCTTTGTTTTTTTTTTTTTTTTTTTTGGTTTTTCTCCGGTACCGGGAACCAAACTCACGACCTTGTGCTTGCCAGGCAGGCGCTTTGCCGCTGAGCTAAACCCCCAGCTCCAAAGGGTAAATTCTTGGTCCATGAAGGATGGCAAGAATGTGGCACTGATGCCTTTCGTTGGTTATTGACGCAGTGTTGACAAGGTGGCTGTAGAGAAGCAGCAGGGAAGTCTCTGGACGTAGAGAGAAGCAACCAGCAGCCATGCCCATCTTAAGAGGAACTGTGTCAGTCCTCGACTGAGCAGTGCTTTACAGAGATCCCTTACACCCTCCATGGAGGGGCCGGGCGTCTGAACTTCTGAGACTCCCTAGCTGATTCCACTGAGCAGGCAGGGATGAGAGTTATAGGTGAAGGGGCCGTTGAGCTGAGTAGGTCAGCAGAAGAATCAAGTGAGATGCTCAATAAAGCTAAAGGAACTTGACAGTGGCAGAGGAACCTGCTCATGATAAGACAGAGAAGGTTGAGGAAAATGGAACCATCTCATAGCTTCAAGCTGGGATAGGACTGGATGGGTTATTTTCCTTGACTGTGTATTGATCGCACAAGACTGAGGGTTAAGATGTTGGCAGACAGAACGGAAGGTTTGTAAGCTGATCCAAGAGGCCCTTCAGCTGGGGAAGTTCGGCAGCATGTTGACACACACCTTTGGTCCTATGGGCAGCTTGCCCGAGTGTGTGCACCTGGAGAGCGCTCTCACACGGCCCAGGGACACCTTCCAGCTTGCAAGGGACTTATGCTTGATTCTAGAGATGAGACCCTGTCTTGGTCTGTGCCGTCGCCGATCTGTCTGGAGCCAGCCAGCGACACAGGGAGTCAGTCCCCCTTCTTCACGATGGTTCCCGTATCCGGCGGGGCATCTTTTGCTCAAGGGCAGTGACGGAGCCTTTGCGAGCAAACTCTGCCTTTGTTGTAGGAAGCAGTGCAGGTGCTGATCAAGCACTCAGCCGATGTCAACGCCAGGGACAAGAACTGGCAGACGCCCCTGCACGTGGCCGCAGCCAACAAGGCCGTCAAGTGTGCGGAAGTGATCATCCCGCTGCTGAGCAGCGTCAACGTCTCTGACCGGGGCGGGCGCACGGCCTTGCACCACGCGGCCCTGAATGGCCATGTGGAGGTGGGTGTTCTTGTTGTTGCTGGGACCCCTTGGCCACAAAGGGAACCTGAGCTTACTGCTGGGACTTTTAGAGACTATGAGGCTAATATGAGGTATGATCGAAAATACAGTGAACACTTAAACTGATATTTATTACAGTAAAAGACACATTGCCATCCATTCCCCTCAACATCCTCCCGTCGCTTCATGCACACTTAGCCCACGGCCCTTGCCACTTTCTGCAGCAGCTCTGGAGTCCTCTGTTCTGAGTGTCGTTAGCTGTGGCCGCCACCGTCTCCTGAATGGGTTCAAAATGTTTTCTACCCCCAGGGAAACAACCTGTGGCCCAAAGAGAAGGTGCCTGCTTATCTGCCCACCACCCACCTCCTCACCTACCTACCTGGTTGTGGCCGGGTTCACCACGGCTTCCTTACCTCCTCCTCACCTGCAGGGGGCTAATAAGAAAGTTTCCTTTTCCTGGTCATTTTGACCAGAAGTCGCGCAGTGCCATATCTGGTTAATAAGGTGGCTGAGGACACAGCACCATGTTTATATGAGCCTGCCTGGTGGGTGGTGCTTGGCAGCAGCATCCACTGTATTTTTGATCACAGCTCGTAAAGACACTGAGGTAGTCAGACTCCCAGAGCCACTTCAGAAAGTGGAAGGAGGATGGGATCGCTGTGCACAAAAGTTCAATTTAACCATTCGCTGTACATTCGGTCACCCCCTCTACATCCTCTGTAAGTTTAGAGCGCTAATGAATTTTAAAAGTAGGTTGTCCTGTTAGTCCTTTCCTTCAACATGTGCTGCGCGTTTGCTGTGACACCACCTTCTGACTTTGTCAGAGCTCCAGACCCCGACCCGCTCTGGGGGCGCTGATCACCTCCAGGCAGCGAGGAGCCCTCACCCTTACGGGTGGTCTCTGTTGGTTACCTTCCAGATGGTCAATCTACTCTTAGCCAAAGGGGCGAACATCAACGCATTCGACAAGAAGGACCGGCGCGCGCTGCACTGGGCAGCATACGTAGGTGAGAGAGCGGCGCGCCACAGCTCTACCTCAGGGAGCCGCAGGCCCTCTCGGCTGTGTGGGTTTCCTCTCGCTGAGCCTACCATCACGGGTGAGCTCTGGAGGGAGGAAGGTGTGGCCTGCACAGAGTGCTGGAGTTGGCTGCCGCTTCACAGAGGTTTATTTACCCTGCGTGGGTTCTCCTTTTAGTAGGGGAAAAAAATCTATACAATAAAAACAAATCTGAAGCCAGGAATGGTGGTATAAACCTGTAATCCTAGCAGTCTGGGAGGCTGAGGCAGGAAAATCCAAGTGTGAACCCAACCTGGCAACTTACTGGCTTAGGGAGACCCTGTCTCAAAATAAAAAATTAAAAGTAAAAGGGCTGGAGTTGTACTCAGTGTGAAGGTCCTGGTTCCATCCCCAGTACTCCAAAAACAAGTAAATTAACAAATAAATCTGGAAAATATTATGTACAGAAGAATTAACTGATTATCTATAAGAACTGGTGCTTATATGTGATTTTGGTTTCCTTCTAGCACCTTTGCGCCTTTGTAACAAACATACGTGCCTTTTATCATCTTAAAAATTAACATTAATGTAGGAAGTAAAACAGAGCAGGTTAGGTACGGAGAAATGAATTATGTGGCCATAGATGGGGCTTAATGGATACTTGGGCTTTGAAGGTCTTAGAACTTTGCAGGAATTAGCATTTAAAGACAAAGTGCCATGGGTTCCCAGGTTGGCTGAGGCAGATTCAGATGTCCGCATGGGTCCAGGAGGGACGGGAGCCAGGCAGAAGGCACTGAGGCAGAGATACACTAGGTGCAAGTGGGGTACGACTCAGAGTCAGGGTTTCATGTTCATCCTTTGCTGCAAACATCTGGGTAATGGCTTTTATTATCACTTGTGTCATCGGGTAACAGGTTGGGCAAACAATATAAAACCAGGAGCAGTAGCCATAAATAGTACCACTAGTAACTGTGCACAAGTCTTCAAAGAAAAAAAGGTAAATTTTAATATAACAAGCCAATACCAAAGTGTTTCTTTCTCTGACACACACGTATATGCACACGCACACATCTTTTAGGTCCTGGCGTTGATACTTGTCTTCTGCCCTTGGTTTACCATCTTTGGAGCAATGGTCATGAAGCTTTGGAAAATCTTCAAATATGAATGCAGCCAGATGCATTTACCACACTGGATTTAGTGAGCTAAGAACAGAGTAAAATATCCTAGGAAAAATTGCTCACAATAGTTGCAGCAAGGAGGTTTCCCCTTTAACATAATTCATAAGAACACCTTTATGTTGAGCCATAGGAAAGTGTTATTTTTATGGGCTAAAAATCAACTCAACAACAGCAATGTCCTATGATTTAAAAATCATCGGCTTGCGCCGACTGACTGGGTTTTTCTCCTGTCAGTTTTCCCATCCCAAATCACGCCCTCTAGACCTTTCAGGGAGGAGCGGCAGTTGTTTCAGAGCAGGGCTTTTGCCTAACACGGACTTTAAGAGGTGGCGGTGCCAGCACACTGTCAGCACCCGTGGACATGGTGGCAACCCCAGTCCACTACGGCTCCTTCGAGTCTTGTGCATGGATGGCCATTTGTCTTCCTGCGGGATTTACATGCTGTCTAGCACATAGCAGGTCTTCAGTAAATATGTCGAACATTTGTCACAAGACAGCTTTCTGTGAAAATAGTTGGCAGAGACTGGTAGCCGTTAAAAGCTGACCATGATCCTTAGGTGACATGAGCCATCCAACTGTCCCGCAAAGGTTCACAGTGTTTTCTGCTGCTCTGTCTGTCAAGGCCACCTGGACGTTGTGGCCCTGCTCATTAACCACGGCGCAGAAGTGACCTGTAAGGACAAGAAGGGTTACACCCCGCTCCACGCCGCGGCCTCCAACGGGCAGATCAATGTTGTCAAACATCTCCTGAATCTCGGGGTAGAGGTGAGTGGCGATGGATGTGATTTTGTACCCCTTCATGGCCTGAGAGTTTGGGGCTTTTCTGCTGCTTGAAATTAAGTCCTACGTTTTAGCGCGAGGGGAACACTTATTTTCTAGCATCCTTTCCTTCTGAATGTATCGGGGCACCTTGTAAAAGACAGCGGGGTTTGGGCCAGTGGAAAACCAGAAGCAGGCCAACTTTCCATGTCAGCATAGGTGGAGAAGAACACAAACGTGTGTCTCCCCGGCAAGGTGTATGAACAGTCACATCTGAGAGGCTGGCCGGGGTTCCTGGACCTCTTCAGAAGCAGCCTTTGCCCTCGTGGCTCTCCGCAGAACAGGGCGTGGGTGTTGGGGACAAACAGCCGATGTGTCCAGCGCTGAGCTAGAAGAGCTTCAGCGAGCACAGCGGAGCGGTGTTGAGCTCGGCACCAGCGACACCCAGCCCCCGGGGGAGGGAAACCAGCTTGCCACCCTGAGACCAGGAAGGCGACACCCGCCCCTAGACAGCTCTCGGAAAGCCACAGGGAGCCAGGGACTAACGCCTGCTCAGGACAGAGCCACTGCTCTGCAACCAGACCGCAGCGGGGAGTAAAACGGAGATCCCAGCGTGACCAGGGTGTGGGCTCTGGCGCTGCGCCTCATGCGTCCTCCGCCCTCCTCTTCACTGCCCAGCCCTGTGTTTGGGGCCTGCTCGCCCCAAGTCCCTTCTCTTCTGGCTTTGTCTTTCACCCGTGCCCTTCCCTGGCCAGCACCAGCCCTCGTGGCACACAGCCTCTTACCCTTGCTGGGTCACTTTTCCCCACCTTCCCTTGGAGCTGATCTGCGCCTCAGGGTAAGAAGCTTGCCCAGAATAACCTCCGGGGCTGAGAGTGCCTGAGCCCCAAAAAGGATGCTGGTGGGCTGCGAGTCTGCTCCAGCCGCAGCCGGCAGGCTTTCCGTGGCAGGAGAGCGCGCTGGCTCCAGTGACGTGCGCGGCCCTGCGGCCGCCTCCTTTGCAGATTGACGAAATCAACGTCTACGGGAACACGGCCCTGCACATCGCCTGTTACAACGGCCAGGACGCCGTGGTGAGCGAGCTGATCGACTACGGCGCCAACGTGAACCAGCCCAACAGCAGCGGCTTCACCCCGCTGCACTTCGCCGCCGCCTCCACCCACGGCGCTCTGTGCCTGGAGCTGCTGGTGAACAACGGGGCGGACGTGAACATCCAGGTAGGCCGCGCTCGGTGCCTTGGGGGCCACCCGGGTGCTGGAATTACACCACGTGTGAGCAGGCCGCGCCCCTGAGACCCGGACCGCACGTCTCGTCCTGGGTCGGGCGGCTTCAGGTACACCCCGGCAGCCTCTCCGGTGTGCTGGTGCCAGCGAGGCACGGGCTCCAGCGGTGTGTGCCCGTGGGTTAGTGGAGGATCCAGGGACAAACGCTGGGTCTCAAGCGTGTGGAGTCTGATGCAGGGAACAGCATCGCGCCCAGAGGGAAGGCCAAGCTGCTGAGAACCTGGAGGAAGGCTCTGCATCACCTCAAATGCTTTCCTAAAGCAAGCCACGCCTAGGGGCGCTCACTTGGTCCGAGGATCACTCCTGTCTTCCTCTCTTTCTTTCTTTGACAGTGGGGGGGGGGGCGTTGAACCCAGGCCTTTGCATTGAGCTATAGCCCTAGCCCTTTTATTTTTATGTTTATTTTTACTGCGATAAGGTCTTAGTACATTGCTAAATTGCCCAGGCTGGGCCTCAACTTGCAGCCCTCTTGCCTCGGCCTCCTGCTCACGACTTTATTAGTCAGATTTAGTAAGAGGACCTAGTGCTCTCTGGCCTGGAGGAGTATTGCAAGATGGATGGGATCTCTTCCCTCGAGGAATTTGCAGCGCGTGAAGGAGACGGTGTGCGCTCAGATAATCAGGCAGGAGAGATGTGATGTGCTTCACGAGAGAGTAACGGGGTGCAGGCTGGGGGCGGCAGGGGTGGCTTGCTCTGTCTGGGGAGGCAGGGGTTGTCTTTCAGCGGAGATAGTGGAGAGGGCGTGGCACGGAGAGAGCAGCACGAAGCAGGGCCACGCGGTGCGAGGAGGCAGAGGCAGTGGGTGAATCCGCACAGCCGCCCGGCCCGCCGCGACCCTCACTGCGGGGACCTGGGCAGGCTGCCCTTCCTGTCCTAAGCGCCCCGCCCTTCTCCCACGCACACGCGGAATCTGAGCGAGTCTCTGGCGTCCCGTCTCTGCTTATGCATCGGTTACTTTCAAGAAGATGGCAGCAAGCTTCCCTGCTGACTGGTGGAGCTTTTTACACTGCGTTAGACTCTCTAACACTAGGGAAATGTGGGACAAATGCTCAATAGCTGTTGTTGTTTTGGGTTTTTTTATTTTTTTTATTTTTTGTTTTTGGTGTTCTTGATACAGGGTCTGGCTATGCAGTTCAGGCGGCCTTGAACTCATTTTGTAGCCCAGGCCAGCCTTGAATTTGGAGATCCTCTTGCCTCAGCCTCTGAGTGCTGAGATTGTAGGCGTGTGCCACCACACCCGGCTTGTTGTGACTGCATAGAGTAGAATTTGGATGGAAGAACAAAGCCAGAAAGAAGCCCAAATGTGAGAGAACCAAGGAGGAGGGTTTGTTCCCTGGCCGCTGAGGACGCGGCCGGGGCGGGCTGAGGCGTCTCATCACCCCGGGGGCTGCTGGTCAGACCTGGGCATCAGAAACAGAACCCACAGGCAGAAGACGAAAAGGGGAAGAAGGTATAAATAACTGCCTAAAAATTACCATTTTTGTGGCAAAACAAAACAGCAAAAAAGGAAGAAAAACCACACAAACTCAAACAAATTCTAAAGGGACAACTCAGGAAAAATTTTCCACAATATATGTAAGACAAAAAGCGGCAGGTTTAGTATGGGAAGAATGCTTACAAACCAACAAGACAAAATCTGAAAAACCACTAGAGAATTTAGAGAAAGGCAGATCACATAACAGACATTAAGTACATGAAAAATAGTAGTAAGTAAGCCACCGACCGGCTTACGAGCATGTGAGTCGCGAACTTTCACAGGCGTACTGTAGAAGATTCACTTCCTCAGCTTGTGAACGAACCTGCCATACGAACAGTTCTGCCAGAATGGAACTAGTTCGTAAGTCAGGAACTTGCTGTAATCAGTAATATTCACTATCATTAGTACTTTACTTACGAATGCGCGGACTAATTTAGAAATATAGATTTGCCTTTGAAAATTGACCTTTATCAAAGATGATAATATTAGTTTTGTCACAGAAAAATGCAATAAATAAATATGACTTTTAATTTTAAGAAGTTACATGTATATGTGCATAGAGAGAAAAACTATCAGGAGTACAGACTATCATACTCGCATCAGTTATTGCAGAGAGAAAATTATGATTTGGGATTTTAGTTTCCTTTTTGCATTTTTAAAAATCTTCTGATTATGATGCATCATAATGTATTACTTTTATACCCAAAAATTATAGTTCTTTTTAAATACTTGATACCGTATAATGAGCACATTATTTTTATTTCCAATGCCTTGGGCACGTGTTATTATTATTATATCAGAAAAACAGAGGGTTTATTAAAGAGATAAAAAACATCTATTTTCTATTGTAGGTGTAGTGGCTCTAGAGAGTTGACTTGGGGGTAACTGATGTCAACCAAACTGATGCATATCAGAGGTGAGGACAGACGGGGAGGGGCTGGGCGGAGCCAGCTGCAGGGAGAGTCTTTGCATTGCCGCTGGGGTGGGGTGGGAGGAACTGGAGGAGGGCATGGGCTGGAATCTGGTGGGGGAGGTGGCACAGCCCAGGGGCTCACCGGGCTGGGCTGTCAGGATTCCAGGCCTGGCCTTTGCTGTGAATCACTGTTAATCATAAGCGACCTCTCTGTGTATCTCAGTGCGTTTATCTGTAAACGCAGGGAAACCATGACACCTTCATAGAACCCTGTGAGGACTGGATGGAATTATTGCATTTAATCACACAGAACAGTGGCTGACTCGGGGTAGGCGCCTGCTAAGTCTTATTGCTAACATTCATCAAGACAGAGCGGGGAGGAAGAGTAGGCCCAGGAGGTAAACCATGAGCGTAATTCTTAGGCACCTTTGGCACAGCTGGCAGCGTGGAAGAGCTGCGGGGGAGGGCAGGGAAGACATCTGCTGCATTCGCCCAGGGAGGGAAGGACTGTGTGGAGAGGCAGCACCATGCAGGCAGGGAGGGGAGGACCAGGAGGAAGAAGAGTGGGACCCGGGGATGAAACAGGAAGAGTGAGAGAAGGTCAGACAGGAAACGAAGGGTGGGAGTGTCTCCGTGGAGGTGCCAGGCGGGCGGAAATAGCAAAGTAGAACAAAGGGAGGGTCTCAGAGTTCCACACCATAGGTCCCAAGAAGGTCTTTGGCGACATGGAAGGGTCATGGCTCAAGGTAGGAAGGAGTCTGTGTGGGTTGGAGTCGCAGGGCATGGGGGTGAGGGCCAACCGTCAGTGACTCCAGGGTGGTCTACATCTGTTTCGCCGTCCTTCTGTGGGAGGGACATCCTGTGGATCCCCCAGGGAAAGGACATTATTGAAGACTGTTGGAGTCACTCGCTCCAACATCTCCACTTCATTAACTCATTTCCTCCGCCAAGCCTGTCCCTGAAGCTCTCAGGGTGCCTTGAGCCCGAAGCTAGAAGACCACTTTCTGCCCCAGCGACCTGATGCTTCCGGTTAACTGGCTAGAGTCAGTTCAGAATGGCTAAGAGATTCACCCATGCACAGCACATGAGTTCATGGTACCTTCTCTTCTTCCCCACAAAGTGGACTTGAAATGCACAATTACTTAGTTTTAATATTTAGTCCCTCCCCCAATGCTGCTAATCACCAGTAGAACACATTTCGAAGCCTAAGATTGAGTCAGTATGTGACGCAGTTAGTGCAAGGGAGGTGTTTGAATCCAGTGTGGCCATCTTCCTCTGCCCTGTCTTCCTGGCCTGGCTGCTAATTCCCTCGGAATCCCCCCTCAGTGATTCCAGATGCACCGAGGATGCACCAACCACCTCTGGCTCCCGCGGAGCCATCCCGCCTGACTCTGGAGGGAGCTTTCTAATTGGGGCTGTTATCTCTCAGCCACACATTGCCTCATGGATTTTGACAATGTTTGTAGAGGTGAGACAATTGATGTTTGTTTAGAGTTCCCAAAGCTTGAGCAGAATAGCGCGTTGAAGTGCAGCCAGGATCCACCCACGCGTTTCCCTTCGTTTCCCTCTATTCTCACAAAACACTGTACAGGAGTCTCCATGCGCAGTTGAGGATGAGTGCAGCGGACGCACTTCACAGCCCCACAGCCCCTCACTTTACTTCCATCGACCTCGGCCCTGTCTAGACACTTTTGGGGAGAAGGGCATGGTGTTTACTGTCCCTGAAATGGGGCCAGCTTTGCAAACTACACTCTACACTCGCTTCGATTCTTGCAGGCAATTTGGAGAGCTACTGAACCGGTAGCTTTACTCCTTGGTAGAGCCTTTAAGCTCTTTTCCGGGCACGGCAAAGTGCTTAGTGAAATATTTATGAAGATATTTTCTAAACACTGAAGTATTTATAGGTTTATATATATTTAATTAAGTGATAATTACATTTTCATGTTAAATTTAAGGGAAAATACTGAAGCAAAATTTAAAGAAATAGCTCCACCTAGGGACAAGTGAATATCAACTTGGAAACCTCTGTCCTCTTTCCTTGACCTTCCGGAATGTCATCACCTTGTTGTTGGAAGGGCGTGCTTTACATGCCGCTTCCCACATCCCTCCTAGGCCCTTGGGTCATGTGACCTGAGTACAACGCAACAGCCAGGAGCATGCTCTGGAGACAGAACTCGGAGCCCCCTGGGTGTGGAGTCAGTGATGCCGAGTCCTTGTCCTCCTGCGGCTTCTCTTTCCCTCTAAGAATGCGATTTCCAGTCAAGCATTAATGGAGTTCCATCCTCCTTTCTCAGTATTTCCTGATGCAGATTATCATCCCATCACATCTTTCCTATCATCCCCCCCATCTACTTGAGAATTGTTTTCCAATTAAGAGGCAGTTAGTACTCCCTTGAACAAACGCTCCCTTGGAACAGAACTTGTGCCCTGCCTTCCTCCTTTCTAAGGGGGAGACTTACATGAAAGCCCTGTGGTTTCAGGAGCTGGTGGTGCTCACAGCGGTTACTCTTCCGGGTTCTGTGTGTGTGAGAAATGGGCAGCCTCTCTCCCAGTTCCCGCTGGGCAGATGCAGATTAGGGTACAGCACCCATCTTCCCAGCCTTGGGGGAGCCCGCCGTGGGTTGACCTTGGCCCACCCTTCGTAAATCTTATTTAAATGCTCGTTTTCCAGTGTGAAGCTTTAAAAACAAAGTCATTTTAAAGCCTAGGTATGTAGGTTTCCTCACCCAAACAACCATGCATTTTTGAAACCTCACCTTTTAACCTTAGACTTTGAGATGTTTCTCTTGAAACTTAGAAAAATAGCAATCACACGAGTTTTTAGAAATATAGTACTTGAATGAAGATACAGATGCTCCTTGACGCATGGTGGATTGGGTCCCCTGATACAAACTTCCTGTACATTGCAAATGTACTTAGGTCACGTAACCTCCTGAGCATGAGCCCAGTGCCATGGTCAAGACAGAAAATCGGCCGTCTGTCCTCCTCCTCACGCAGCTGCGAGCCCTCCTCTCAGGAGAATCCCCTGCCCTGTACCGCTAGCCCAGGAAAAGATCCAGCTTCAGCATTTGAAGTATGGTTGCTACTGAACGTGAGCTGCTTTCACACTGTCAAGTGGGAGAGCTGCTAAGGGGAGCCATTGTAAGCTGGGGACACGACCTGTACTCTTGCGGGGATGCTTTTGGTCTAACACAGCAGCAGTGTTTCCTTTTGGGCTCATTTCCAGCACAAACTTTTATTTCAGAGACTTGGTTTATGGTGTAACGATCAATACATAGATTTGGTATGTTTTGGACGTTTTGGCTTAATCTGCATTAGGAAGAGCCACAGCTCCTAGAATGAATAATAAGAGCTGTATGTGCAGCACCCCTTTCCAGCTGATCATGAAAATGGCGACTTCCCAAACACTTGCATTCTCCGGTTTCTAAAGACTTTTCTCTTCAGACAACCAGGTATGTCTTTCTGTGGAACCAGAACGTAAGGAATGGTGCGGGTTCCCAGTTAGTTTTGAGAGCTGCAGTGATTTATTGCAGTTTAATCAACTACAGGTCAGACAAGACCATACAAGTTCACACAGTGTATGTCTTTTAAAAAGGTGAAAAAAATCACCTTGCAGGAAACTCCTTTATCAGCAGATCACAAAAGCCATTTGGACAGACTTCTTTTCTATGCTTCTTTAGAATGCAGTGCTTACTGTTACCTGGAGGGGGGTCCGTATGTCTTTTTTTCTTTCAAAATTATCTTTGTTATTTGTAATTGTTATTCATGACATTTTTTTAAAAATTGAAAGTGATGTTTTCATGGCTTTGCAGCGGTGCCCACGAGAACCTTTCAGACTGATGTCCCAGCTCAGGACTGCCTTCCTGATTCCCTTTCTCTCGTGTTTTTAGAGTAAGGACGGTAAAAGTCCGCTGCACATGACGGCTGTCCATGGGCGGTTCACGCGGTCACAGACCCTCATTCAGAACGGTAAGAGAAACACGCTGTTGCGTCTTTGGGGGAACAGTTTCTTGGTCTGAGTTTGGCTGTCTGTCATCTGGATGTGAAAATCGCTGATGTGTTTGGAGTGTGACCAAACACAGATTTGCACAATCCTTTGATGTTCTTCCCAACAAGCTCACAGGCGAACCTCCTCAGCCTCCTCCTTAGCAGGGAGGCAGGGAGGACACAGACCACAGTTCCCAGCCAACTTCAGCCAGGCCGGGCGGGTGGGCGCTGAGACCCTGGGCTTTTCATTCCAGAAGGAATACAGAGAAGCAGCGCATTTATAGCAGCAAATCTGAGTTGCGTTTAGATTGCAGAACTCACCATAGTTCCCCAAGTTAAAGCTCATTAAGTTACCTGGGCGAAAGTAGGGGGAAAAAGAGGTGACTCAGAGGAAAGACACGTAAGTGTGTGACAGAAAGGATCACAAACCACAGGCCTGACAGAGCCCTGCCAAAGTCATACACTGTAGTAATTTTCCAGCTCACAACAAATGCACTTGAACTGTCATGGGGAGGTGACTGAAGCCAAAGTACTAGGGAGTGGCCTCCACTTTGCTGTGAGTGGCCCGACTGGCATCTGAGAGTGGGCTGACTTTGACAGCACCACTGATGTTATCTTCGAAAATCTTAGCGACAATTAAAAAAAAAACAAAAACAAAAGCAAAACCAAAGCATGTTTAGTTTAGATCTCAACTGACCTGACATTCCAGGTCAATTTGGCAATTCCTGAACTACTTGTAGCTGACCTACATTTCTAATTCTCAAAATTTAGATGTCAGTCAGTTTTCTTGCATCTGTATTTTTCTCATCTATAAGCATTCTGGAGGACATACCCTCAAATTGTTAGTGGCACTGAGTTATGTCTTAGGCACTCAAGTCATAAAACTAAAATGTCATCTGACATTTGGATGGAGGGCCAGCCAGTGAAATTATGCTTAGGAAGCAAAATATCTGTGGCCATGCAGAGGAAATTTATGTGCATTTCCGTGAAATTGTAAGGGAAAAGAAATCCTAACAAGTTTCCTGTGAACCAAGGAAGGTAAAATGGAAATTAACTCTATAACACCCGTTATTTCCACTTTGAAATATGTATTGTGCCCTTGACATTTGTCTTATTGAAAGGGGTATTTTGTTTTGTTTTTCAGGATATAAATAAAGGGAAAAGGTGACCCTAGTCTCTCTGTTTTGAGCATTTTCCTTTTCCCCTTTTATTTCTCAACTGCTTTTCAGAATATCTGTCCCTTTAAAAACAAACAAAACTTTAAAGATTTTAATGAGGATTTTAATGAGGCCTTAGCTCTGTTCCTTGTGCAAGCCACCTCATGCAGCAGGGGTTGGAGAGACACCCGGTGCCCCCGTGGAAGCCCTGGCTCCCTACAGCTCCATCCTGTGGTCCAGCCACACGGCCCCCGGCTTTGAGCCACGGCCATGGCATGCAGCCGTCTGCCGTGCCTGTGCTCACGACCCTCCTAGGCCTGCTTGTGGGCTGGAGGGCCTCACCCCCTCCCTGGATGTTCTTGCTGGACCCTGGAGTTGGAGAAAGACCTGAAAGAGACTCCATCTCGTGCCCTCTGTGTCCCAGCAACCTTTGTTTCAGGGTTTTCTCATGCTTGGCGGGCCTGGCATCTTGCTTGTGGGTGAGTGGGGCCCGTGGGCCGGAAATGAGGAGGCTGTAGGGGCTGGAGTAAAGGCCAGTATGTAAAATGATAGTGCCAACATTGACTGAGCGTTCACTCTGTGCCAGGCATGCAGCCAAACACCCCACAGAAACCCTCCCAGCCTTCCTACTATGGCTAGCATCATTTCAAAGATGGGGAAACTGAGGCAGAGAGGCTGCCCCTGGTGTCATCATACATGGCCAGTATATGGAGGACCAGGGTTTGGAACCCAGGTAGTTTAACGTCACACTTACACACATGCTCTCGGGAAGAACAATGAGGGTAACACATTTTTTAACTTAAATTCAACTTATGCTAAGAGGCACACATATCTGGAATAGAGCTCTCCCTCTAAAAGGCAATGTGTTTTTCTCTTTTTTTGTTTTTCTCTTCTCTCAGCTGACAGTTCTTTGCAGCATTCCCCATGTGGGAACTTGAGTTCTTCCACTGGAAATTTTTGAAAATGCCCTTGGGGAAAACAGGAAGTTCTTTCCTTCCTGTTTGTTTGCTTCCTTCTGGAAAACATCTTGGGCTGCTGCTGAGATCCTCCTTCTCCTTGAGACCTCCACCCCAGGCTTGGTGTGGGTTCCCATTGTAACGCCCCAGTGTCCCCGAGAGCTGGGCTCCGCCACTGTGTGGGAAGATGGGTCAGCGCCTCCACCACCTGACCACGCACTGAGGAGCGGTCCTTGTACTGATTTGTCCTATTGAACAGCTTTGGTGTCCGGACTTTGTATCTAGCACTTGTCTGATTCCCAGTCTGCTCTCTAGACAGGGCTGTTAACTCATGATAATCTCAGCATTTATCCAGAATCATTCCAGTTTGTTAAAGCAAACATTTATTTATTTTTCTTCTTTTCTTTCTTTTTTTTTTTTTTTTTTTTTTTTTTTTTTTTTTTTTTTTTTTTTTTTTTTTTTTTTTGAGACAGGGTCTCGCTATGCAGTTCAGACTGGCCTTGAGCTCACTTTGTAGCCCTGGCTGGTCTTGAACTCACAACGATCCTCCTGTGTCAGCCTCCTGAGTGCTGGGATTACAGGGTAAAGTAAACATTTAAAACTACTCTTTCGCTTTTGGGTTAGTAAGCAAGGACGCCTCTGTAGTCAAACACACTGTGTCTGAAGCTGTACTGCCGCAGCGAGAAGGCGGAACTGGAGGAAGGGGCAGTGTCGGGAGGGTTCCACCCCAGCACTTAGCAGGGGCAGCCGCCTCAACGCTGTCCAGCAAGCGACAAAGTTCAAAACTCATGTTTTCTTCACAGATGCTTTAAAAATAAACAGATTTTGTACAGGAAGAGTTGACTAGTAGGTTAGGACAACTCCATGTGAGATTTTTGACCTTTTGGCTCAAAGTCCTTCTGAGACAATTTAATAGGAAGACTATTCTTGTTTGTGTCATGAAAAACTACTTTCAGATGAATGTTTAGATCATGCTGATTAATTATTATTTAGAACATGCTCTGCATGTACATGTCCCCTTTCCTAATTATCAATAATCGTTTTCCAGCATTTAACTTGCAACTTTCCAATAAATAATATGGATATTTAACTTGCATTGCAAGTAAAGATTTCCAAATAGAAGTGGAAAAGTTTGTGCAGTGATTATAAAATAGAAACTTGCACACCTGGAAGTTTAACTCTCATAGAAAGTATGTTTTCAAATAACAAAATCCATTCTGTTGGATCCTAGATGACAATAGATGTATCTATGGCTGACACTTACCTGTATTTTTATTTTAAACTGACTTATGAAATGATAGTGATAGGTTTTCTGGCACAGAAAGAAATAAGACAGAGTAAAATGCCTTTATTGTGGGCACAGGTGAAGGCCACAGTAGGAAAGGCGAATGTGGAACTTCTGAAGGCCTGGCTGGAAGAACAATGGTTATATAGGGCCAGGCTGGAGGCGGGGTTTAGGGAGCGGACTGCCTGACGTGGCAGACCAGCACTGGGTGGGAATGTGGGAAAACGAAACAGGACACTACGAAAGGGGAGTAGGAAGTCGTAATTTGACTCAGGAAGAAGGATGGGGCTTAGCATATGGCCTCTAGGGGCCAGTGCCATATTGGCTTGGGACCATTCTAGTCAGCGCCATGGCACATGGCCTCCAGTGGGCAGTGCCACAGCAACTCTAAAGGAATTAGAATGAGGGGAAAAACCCATTAGATAGTAACAACAAAACCTCGATCAGCTCAGACCCTCTATTTGGCTTTTTGACTCTTCTCTTTCCCTACCCAATTTTTGGTTTACTTCAGGCCAGAAAATCTGCAAATGTTGGCTCTTCTTATGGAGGTTTGGTGACTCTTGGCTGGGAAGGATGGGGAGCGAAGCAGTGCTGTCGAGGGCAAAGGCTCCTCAAAGTCTGCGGATCCCCCATGTAGACCAGTCCCATGGTTGGAGCTCTCAGGAGGGGCACAGGGAGCAGGGTAGACAGACACGGGCACCCTGGATGTCACGCAGACCATGTGGCCACCTGTCCTCAAAGCTACCATCCAACCATAAAAATGAATCAACCTGAATTGGGTGCTTCTAAAATCAGATAAGAGTTCTTAATCTCTGAGGCCCCTCAAATGTCACAATAACTAAGTTTACTATTTTTCCTGACTATAAAATTTGTACCTGCCCACTGTAAGCTGAGTGAAATCAGGAAACAGCTCCTCCATAATCCCCAACCCTCAGAATTTCTACTGACAGTTTGGTAAAACCTCTGCACTGTTCTACGTATTTAAGACAGTACATGTAAAGACATGTAATTATTACCTTTACTGTCACAGAAATGGTCATAGCCTATCTATTTAGACATTTTGATTCAAAAATAACTATTGTACCGTAGAAACAAAGATTTGAGGAGAGATCAGTGTTTGGATTCAAGTTGCTACTTGTATTTCTCTGTTACCATCAAAGTGAAAAAGAGATTGCCTTTTTGTAAGCGGCCATTAAGTGGCAAATCCAAACTTACTGGCAGTAGATTGATTTTCAAGGTGAAGTCTACATGCGCAAGATTTGGCATTTTATAGCCTGTGTGTGCTGACAGCAGTCCGAAGACCAGCCCTAGTAATTATCTCACTTTAGCAAAGACTCTTATTCACTGACTCTATGTCTTACCAATACACCTCACTAGAAAAAGTATTGTTTACTGAAAATAAATCTTGGGATTTGTTGGTCATAATGACCCAAGCCAGGATCCGTTAGAGGGAAGAGGGATTATAGTGAGGATTCTGTAATGGTCTTAGGCCTGACCTGGGAGTGACTGTGCTCTCTCCAGGCTCCTGATGGCTTCAGTGTCGTGGGGTGATTGAGTACACTGCTGGTGAGGGTGCAAATGGACGTGGCCTTTCACAAAAGCTACTTACTAGTGTCTATCAAGACGCTTAAAAGTGGTCATCCTTTTGGGCCATGAGTTCTACTTCTAAAAATATTGCTGAAGGAGAGAAAAGGTGTTTGTATTAGTGAATTTTCCATCACTGGGGCAAAAATGCCCGACACCTGCAATTTAAGGACGAGTGGTCTCTTTTGGCTCATATTTCAGAGGGTTCAGTTGGGTGCAAGGAAGAAGTACTTTGGTAGAAGGGCCTGGCAGAGGGAAGTCACTCTCCTCATGGTCACCAGTAAGCAGAAGTGGGGAGGAGCTGGTGACAAGAACACACCCTTCCAGGTCACACTCCCGGTGACCTACCTCTGCTGACCAGGCCCCGCCTCCAACACAGAACACTTTGGGGGGACAGTGTAGAACTTAACTGTAACAATATTTATTCCCATGTTTTTGTAACATCAGAAACTTAGGAAGTCTTGATGCCTAGTAACTGAGGAGTTGCTTAGTAAATTCTCTAAATACTGCTGTTATATACCTATTTATATTAATGAGAAAACTAATGATAGAGGAATTATTTGTGATATGACATCAGGGAAAGCCAGGATACAAAACTCTTTCTATACCACGGTCTCAACCATGGGAAAATTCTATACACACGCCTGTGCATGCACACACACACGCATACATACACACTTGTACCCAACTGGAAGGAAATATTCCCGAATATCAACGCTGTACTATCATGGATAATCAGTGAACTTATGGGTGATTTACATTTTGTTCTTTGTGGGCCAGGGGTATAGCTCAGTGGCTTAAGTGCTTGCCTGGCAAGCCTGAGGTCATGAGTTTGATTCCTGGTACCAAAAAAAAAAAATAAACAAAACATTTTGTTCTTTATATTTTTCTAAATCTTTTAAATTTTCTGCATTGAGAAAATTACTATCTCAACCATGAAAAGGTTATTTAAAATAAATGTATAATATCTTTCTAGATTCACCAAAGCTATATTTTTTTTTAATATTTGAGATAAGGTCTCACTATTTAGTCCAGGCTAGGCTTAAACTCACTATATAGCCCAACCTGGCTTTGAACTCACGGTGATCCTCCTTCTTCGGCCTCCTAAGTGCTGGGATTACAGATGTGTGCCACCATGCCCAGCTTCCAAAGCTATTTATATATTTCTTATGATTTTATATTCCTTATACTGGTATATGTAACTATGTATAGCTTAGATGTATAAAATGAACAATCTAGTACTGTATTAGTGTAATAGTTTATCTTAGTTTAATCTTACTTTCACTCCATATAATTCAAAACAAGGTCAAAATTGTTGGAAATTTGGAGGTTATTTTGTGAAGCATAATTTTCTAATAAGATCTGTTGTAAGATATCTGCTATCTCAGAGCACAGCTTGACAATCAGGAACTCGCAGCTTTCCATAATGACGCGGAGATTTGTTCCTGGACGGGAAAACCAAGAAACACAGCCTCAGACTGGCTCGCTCTGGGCCCCCACACACTGGGCATTTTGTTAAAGTAGAGGAGCCTCTTAGCTTAGAGAGGGCTGGAGATACAGCTCAGCGGCACAGAGCCAACCTGGCAAGCGTGAGGTTACGAGTTCAATTCCCGGTACCAAAAAAAAAAAAAAAACCAAAAAACAAAACCAGATTAGCTTAGAGAAGCACAAGTGCCCACTTTGGTGTCCCCTTCCCATGGTGTGTCTACCTCTACTTACTTCCCCTCTTTTTTCTGGAGCTTTCCTTAGGTTCCGTCTTTTTAATTGAGATATGATCCATATATCATGAAAGGTGCCACTTTAAAGCAGAGAATTTTTAAATTTCAGTGCGTTTTAGTATTTCCCCCAAGGTTGCCCAACCCATCACCATCTAATTCCAGAACATTTTCATCACACACAAAGAAACCTCAGAGCATTAGCGGTCACTCCCCATTCCTCCCTCTCCTGGCCCCTGGCCACTGCTAATCTACTTTCTGTCTCTGTGAATCCTTAAAGCCCTTTCCTTGGGCCTTGACTCCTTCAGGCATTCAGGGAACATTTATTTAGGCAGCCAATGGGGACACCATCACCAAAATGAACTCCAAATGGGTCAGACGTCCAACTCTAAGAAATGAGCCCTTTCCAGTATAAAACGCATGTTAATTTCTTTGTTACCAAAATGTGGAGAAAGCCTTCCTAATAATGACTTACAGCCCAAATAAAACAAAAGACATAAATTATTTTTAAAAATTTACAGGATATAAACATCATAAATTAAAAGAAAAAAATCAAAAGAAAAAGAAAGGTGGGCATGGTAGCACATGCCTGCAATCCCAGCACTCCAGAGGCTGAGGCAGGAGGATCGCCACAAGTTCGAGACCAGCCTGGGCTACATTAGTGGGTTCAAGGTCAGCCTGAACTGCACAACAAAACTCTGTCTCTAAAAAAGAAAAGAAAAGAGAAGTAAAGTCCCTGGGAAAATATTTGTAAAATGCACTACTGATAAATGCATAATCTCCCAAATGTTTAAGAGCTATTGAAAATCAAAATATAAAAAGAGTGCACACACACACACACACACACACACACACACACTTAGAAAAATGGGCAAAAGTCATGGGAACTAGTTAACAGAAAAAGAGAAACAAATGGTGCTTTCATATACGAAAACATGTCCCACTAACGTCATAGTAAGAGAAATGCAAATGAAAATTCCCCTGGAATATCAGTGAGTGCTCATCCCATGGCAGAAACTTAACAGCTGGACAAGTAGTGGGGGTTGAGGCCCCCTTCTGTAGTGCTAGTTAGAGTCCTACACAGGAAATTTGGCAAAAAAAAAAAAAAAGAAAAAGAAAAATCTCACAAAACCACAGATTCCTTCACCCTTTAACCTGGAAATCTCTGTTGAAGGCATTTATGCTAAGGCAGCAGTGGCGAACCTTTTAGAGACCGAGTGCCCAAACTGCAACCCCAAGCCCACTTACTCATGACAAAGCGCCAACCCTGCTGTTAAACCTGAATACTGAGGTTTTAGTTTAGAAAAACAAGTCATACATTAACATCTCTTGTCTTAAAAGAAAAATAAGAGCCGTGCCATAGACTCTAAGGTCCCTGTGACAAATGTGAAGCAGCCTGTACCAGCACTGCTCCCCGGGGCAGCAAAATGCCACAGCCCAGCCCACGGGAACACGAATGCGCAGAACGCATACCTCCATGCTGAGGAAGCAAGAAAGCCACAGTAAAATGAAGTGACCTTCAGGAACGACCTCTCGGACTGAGTTCCAGGATGCAGTGAGTGGGGGAGGGGCCATTTTTGCAGAAAGAAACACAAACTTAAAACTAACTATTATCCAGGAAGTGGATGAGGCCGAAGTAGAAGGAATAGGAATGAAGCTTTAGAAAAATATAATTTTGACTTTTGGAACGTATAAATATTTTACATTTTAATTAAATAAATCAAGCCTAATAAAAAAATTTATTACACACAGACTCAAAGGAACCTAACCATATGTCAAAGTGGTACTATAAACACACAGGTAAAGAGTTCAGGCCACGTGTGAAAAAAGTGTTCCTTCCCGTAGATGCTAAAGCCACTGGGCGAAGTCTGGAAATCGGATATTTACAGTCTCAGAGTGCCACCACCAAACTGTTTCATCACAACGGGGAAAAGACAGACACTTTTGCGCTAGAATGTGCCGGCCAATCTCTTTTTTGGCTGAAGTATGCATAGCATAAAAGGTACCTTGTAACCATGTTTGGGAGTTAACAGGTCAGTGGCAGAATTATATCTGTGCTGTGCAACCATCACCGCTGCCATGCATTTCCAGGGAACTCTGCACCCCTGTACATCATCCAGCACTGCTTCACCAGCCCTCGCTGGCGCACGGAGGAGCTGCAGCGGGGACTCTGGCACGTTTGCTAAAATGTTCACCCGGATCTAACACGAGGGAGCCGTGCGGCAACTCCGCGTACCACACATCCCACACAACCTAGCCGCATCTCCAAAAAATGTCAACCATTTTTTAGGCAAGAGCTAAAAATTAAAGAGATGAAAGGCAGGAAGATTGCTTTTGGTTAATAGAAACCGAGAAAGCATGACAACCAACCACCCCCGGAGTCTTGGCTTAGGTTCCAGATTTATCAGCAACAACAAAGCAGATAGGAAGCACGTTTTGGGAGCCCTGGAGAAACGGAGTGTGCCGTATGTATCGCACAAAACCCTGCTCGTGTCGGGCACAGTGGTGGAGTGTGTCTGTGTGTGAGACTTCTCAGGAGGAACGTGGTGGAGAGGAGATGTTTTAAACGGTTCCTCCGATAAACGGGTAAGTAGGCTAATTGCAGCTACACACACAGGAAAGAAAGGGGAGAGAAAGAAATGCAAAAGAAAACATGGGGAGTAAAGAAGGCAAAATAAGATGAGACGAGATGAAGCTATTGAAAGAACTCTAGAAAATTAACACGGTAGCCTTAATAAATACAGCCATTTTCAGGTTGTACTTTGCACTTGTACCCATTTTGCTCACGCATATTTTACGCTAGGTCCTGAAGCCGCGCGAAGCCCTGGCCTGAACTCCTTCCCTGGTTCCTCTGGCTCTGTGTAGGAGTTCGCTTTTGCTGTTAGTCTAGATCAGCAGTCCGGCCGGAGGGCTTCGGAGCCTTAAGCGGGACGGCATGGAAGGCTTCCGAGCCCGCTGCCGGCGCTTCCCTCCCGGACACATCCCCCACGGGGCGGCGTGCCCCACAGCGTCGTTGCCCTGCCGGGCTGCACGCTGGGGCCCGGGGCCCGGGGCCTGAGCCCGTGTCTGAGCGCGCGGTGCCGGCCCTGTCTTGCAGGAGGCGAGATCGACTGCGTGGACAAGGACGGCAACACGCCCCTGCACGTGGCGGCGCGCTACGGGCACGAGCTGCTCATCAACACGCTCATCACCAGCGGGGCGGACACGGCCAGGTAGGACCCCAGCCGCCCGCCTGCGCC